GCGACTCAAATTCACCCTTTTACTTATCTGACTCTTTCTCGGAGATACGACACCCATTTGCTTCCACTCTCCACTGACCCAGAATGTCTTACCGTCCCACCAGAGAATTACTCTGGGAAACACATCTCACAGTCATCATTTCTCGATACACTCAGAGACCGCTCTATATAATCACTATCTATCAAATTTACTCGAGGCGCCTAGCAATACTGTTGCTATCAAATTAGAACTTCTTCATATCCCGCACGAAAGCTATCGCAGGTTTGAACACTCGCCAAGAGTGCTTCTGCTTTCTGACAGACGAAGGTGGGTTCATGAATCCCCAATCCTCTACCTGAATGCACGGGTGTCGTACCCAAAATCAGTATCATTGATGCCTTTGCGTTCTGTTTACCGTTTGACAGTCGCGTGGTGCATAATTGCACGGAGCTACTGAATTTATTAACCTTTCCGCGGTTTTTCAAAGCCTGGAATATCGAATTTAACGAACAATACTTGTTTTGGGCCCATCTTTCTTGGAGAGTCGCTCTTTTAAGTGTTGGTTCCATTGACCACGATCTCCATGCTGTATGATAGAACCCAACACTTTTCAGTAGGTCGTTCTGCGCCTGCTGAGCCTTAAAATTTACCCGTGAGGGTTGTGCCATCCGCCATTGCGTGGGACCCCAATACTTCGTACGACCTATCCAAGAGCGAAGGGTCGCGCAATGCACAGATTTTTGCACTATCACGTTAGAAGCGTCTTCGGATACCGTGGAGCTGCTAAACGACTGACAGATCGCTATCTTACTCATCTGCATGGCTGGCGTCCATCACCCCTGGAGGGCTCAAAGAGCTTACATTCCTGACAGCCCATCCTGCCTTTGTGACGCCGAAGCTAAACTCGTATTACACCGCTTCATCGAAAGAGGTATGGGGGAAGCGGAAGGTTGCACCTATTTGGAGAACTCAGGACGGAGCTGTTTTGATTCCAGGATATGATTTGAGTTCGTGGCTCCTGAACAAAGTCCGCCAGTTCTTGCCTCTGTTTACAGTTGACAAAAAACTTCAAAAGCATCAGATGAACCTGGTCAGGCGGTGTGTACACATGCGATATTTGTCGCTTCTAATCTTCCTACGTTGATGACGCTTTTTTCACTGAGATTTCCTCTCTGTCTCACCAGATACCTTTTAATTTATTATTTCAAGTGCAATTTGCTGTGAATTAGTTTGAACCATGTCCGGAATAGTAAACCCTCCCAGCTTTTTTCATCTCAGGTTCAAATGTTCTCCGTCCTAACCCTCAACGATCTGGAATTACGTTCTCCGTTCTCACCCTCTACGATCTGGAAGTCCAACGTCAGCGGCCTCTAAACAGTGCAGTTTGAAGCTGGGAGCGCCCTCAGGCGAATGATCACCGCTAGAGGCCATTTGGTCGCATATTTTTTAAACTTATTGGGCCCAGAGTATATTTTTTAAGGCTGGCCTTACTTTCATGGGGAGATATACACGAACAAATCATGTCCCATCTTCGCAAAGAGTACAATCGCTCTATGACCTGGTCGTGAGACTAACAACAAGGAGCCGAGGGGCTCACAGATAAGGACACCATCTTTACTAAATAGCAGAAGAGCTATCGGAAGGGCATGAACTTTTGACAGCTTTAGTGCAAATCATGTAATTGTCCGAAATAATTAGCAGCGACATCGAAGAGCTTCAGCTAGGCTCGGAAAGTAGAAGTAGCAGTGAGCCGCGGTCTCCAGAGTGTAAGTTGTATGGATCAAGAACTAACAAGAGATTATCACGGTCTCCAGAATGTATTACTAACGAGACGATCGGCGCGGATTTGAGCTCCGATCCTCAGAGATTATGATTGGTGGGATGAGTAGAGCAAAAATGTGGATTAGTTCCGGAGCAAATCCCGGCGGCTGTGGATTGCAAAAGTGGATAGTCCTAAAAGCTGTTATACATTCATTACTATCAGGGTGAAGCTCTCGCAGCGCTGTGAGGGGATGTTTTTTGTGATGATGATATCATCAAGTGGATACGTATGTATGTATTATAGCTAGTTTAAAGCAATAAGCTGAGCTCATATTAACCCGTTATTAAGGACACATTGCAGAGTGTTGTGTGCAAGAATGGGCTATCTTCAAGGAACCTACGGACTCCTTATATCCTTTGTTGAACAAATATAACAGCGTGTGCGACGAAATTCCTGCCGCGGGGATCGCTCCCAATAATAAAATGCTCCATAGAATCAAATGAGATATTAAGCGAAAAATATTTACACTCAAAATGACCTATATCCAAAAAAGATGCCGTCATACCTGGTTTCCTCCATGCAAAATTTAAAGCGTTTGTGGCGAGAATTAGCAACTTTTCCGCCATTTTTCTGCATTAGACAGGTTAATAACAAGTGTTGAATCATGCTTAGGTATGATATATCTAACGCAGCCGCTAATGCCAATATGTAGAAAGGATTGTAGCTCTTTCGCTTAGAGGAAGCATACTTTAGGTCGGCGACCTTCGTTCTATACTTATGTAGCGGATCGCAATCCGATTACTCCAGTAGCAGCTACAACCTTAACCCAAGGCCAATTAACTTTTCCGCTTAAAATGTATACTTTAACTCTGGGTTTTATCTGCAACGAATCCGCCTATGTCTAAATCTATAGGTCTTTCTATCTATATATAGTAAACTAATGAGATGTATCACTACTGGATATTCCTGCCACGTACTGATTTCTTATTCATGTGTGGTCACACCACTGTGTGAACACACCATCTTGTATGACCCCGTTACACTCTCCCCATCAGGATTGTGAACATTTACAATTCACATTCAACTGTCACCTCTAACGAGACTCCCGTGTTTGAGACATAACAAAATCGCCAGGACCTTCTTAAAATTGTCTGCTCAATGAGCCCTGCGTCGAAGACACGAAAACACCAAGCCTTTTGGTTCCGAGAACGCCCGCGGGCAGAGCCCTTCTTTGTCGCCTGCACGCGGTACAGCGTACCGCGCCAAACACCGGCGTCATACAGGGACGATGAAGTACCTCGTCGAGGATTTGGAGGAAGTCTACTACAAGTCGGAAAATTCTTTACAGACAGGGAGGAGGAAGAAGGCGAGGTGCCCTAGCGGCGCGACGTGAGCCCTTCTCGAACCGTGCGGACGCCGTGTTCGTTCCACAAACTCTCGACATTCGGGGGAAGTGGTATCATTACCATTCACCTCGACGAGTCACAGAAGCAGCAGATGGATGCCGCCTGCAGGACGGCTCTCATACGCGTGCATCAACGGTCGGTCTTTGACCCTTTTGTGGAGTACGGCTTCTGCTCGGCGGATCCCGCTGCAGAACGCGATAATTTGATCGTTGAGTGTCTACGTGGTCGGGCCCCCGGCCACTACACAAGCTGAGCTTGACCAAAAAAAACTCCTCCAAGCTCGCTTCTTGGTACCTCGAGAAATTCCAATGGATGGGCACTCGGCTTCGTGCTCAAAGAAGAGGCGCTCCTGTACACGCGATGTGGACGATTCTTGTGGTACTCCCCCCTCACTGTCCGTGAAAAAGTCGATTACTTCCCGCCTACCTGACTGAGTTTCCTACGACACAATCGCGATGCGATGGCTGAAAGCCACGACATGCAGAAAGAATATGTAGATAGAAGAAGCAGAAAAAATGCTGGAAACATTGAGGTCGGAGACCCGGTCTAAATACCTTCCTACACATGCAGTCTCTGCTGTCATGAAGACAAAGCTCCGTCCACGGTCTGCGTATACGCTAAACCTTCCGAGAAAAATGTGCGCCCACCCGGTATTTTATGTGGAGTTACTTAAGCCGTACCGGGATCCGGCGCAAGTGAACGCAAAAACGTTGGCGCCGAGGCGGCACCGAAAGACGCTAAGCCACCTAAAAGTTGAACCAGCAAATGATTTTTGAGCACGGAGTGCAACGATCTCCGTTTCCAACGACGCAAGGTGCTCCACTGTCGCACGAAGGGACGTATTCGTTTACTCGACGGCTAGGAAGCTCTGACAGAGCGCGATAATCCTCAACGTGAGGCAGTCGGTAGACAACGTGGTCCAGGCTCTCGAGGTATTCCGCACAGCGGTAGGCGACCTCGGCAAGATGCTCGAAGGAGTGCAGATGACGACGGACATTGTTCTCCAAAGCTCACAGAGCATTACGAGGCATCGGACGGCGATCGACCAAGTCGTCATTGCCCACCGCCGACTTTTCCTGATGAGTATGGTGTCGTCCTCTATCAAGTGGAACGCCTTGTGGGTCGACATCGTCAACAGGGTCTAACCCAATATTTGTGAAGTGGCGAGGATAACCAAAAACTCGTGGAAGTTTAAGGTGCCACTTCGGCAAGACTGCCCAGACGTAGTGGATGCTTTTGATCCGAAGGTTCATGACGATTCACGTCGTCATGCGCCGCGCGCCCCGCGTTTCTAGGCAGTAGCCCGGGAACCGGAGGGTCATAAGCTGAGCTCAAGCTGTGACCCTGAGCAACTGTTGTCGTAGACTCACTCGTGTGAGTGACCACCGAGCTCGCGGGAGCGTGGGATTATTTCATGTGTCGCAGGACGACAATACGAAGGAAGTAGGCGTTGCGCCTTGAGTTTGGCAGACTCAAATCGAAGATGGCGCTCAACCCGCATGTCCACTACCTTATGGCTTGACTGTAAGGTGAACAGTGAGGAAAGTTTCCGGTGCCGCTGCACCCATCGCTTAAAAAGCTCTTCATCATCTGCAGCGGTTCCGCCAAGGGCGAGAACCAAAGATCGTCAGCATTGTGGGTACAGAAGCGCCTCCTTTCTGAGCTCGGAGTCGAGCGCGGTACCGATCCAATGGAATTTCTTGTGGTACGAAAAAGCGAGCTCGTAGAGATTTCCACTTATC